TGTTATTTGTATAAATATTTGATATTTTTATACATATATATATATATATATATATATATAATATGTTCAAATTGATGTACATATCCATCACATTTTAATAGATTTTGAATGTATTTAATTTTTTATTTAATTATATTCTGTTCATTTTTAACTGAGCATATAATCCAGATAAATAGAACGATAGAACAATAGATAGATAGATAGATAGATAGATAGATAGATAGATAGATAGATAGATAGATAGATAGATAGATAGATAGATAGATAGATAGATAGATAGATAGATAGATAGATAGATAGATAGATAGATAGATAGATAGATAGATAGATAGATAGATAGATAGATAGATAGATAGATAGATAGATAGATAGATAGATAGATAGATAGATAGATAGATAGATAGATAGATAGATAGATGACAGGAATGGTTCACACTGATTTTATCTGGTTCTATTTCAGTTCTCAGCTCTGCTTCATGCACTAGTTTGGAGACGTGTGTGAGAAAGTTGATTTGCACAAACACAGCTCCAGACGTCCATATGTTGCCATAGTAAGGTTGTATTTCCTAATGGGGTGCTCTTATGAATCACACCAATGGGACAGACGCTCGACCGGCCTCACGTTCATAACACCTGATGAGAACCGTGACCCTAAAAGGAGAGAGCTAAGCCAATCAGAGCGCAGCTACTACTACATCCCGGCCAATCAGAGCGCGGCACGGGGGAGAGAGTTACCCCTCAGCTGTTAAGCACATTTAGGGTTCGAGCACACATGCCAGCACACTGGCCCATTGACATATACAGTATTCATCCTGGAGAGAGCGAGGAGCCTCTAAGACGTTACTAAAACGAGACGGTTACGGTTGGTGGACATCTTTAGGCAGCCTGTGTTCGTAAAAAGCTGAATAATCAGAATTATATCAAGAGAGTGCTGACTATAGCCTCGTAAAGCCTGACACAACTGCAGCAAAAACCAGCCAGAGTGAAGAAGATTTGTGAGGAATTTATGCAAACAGTGCAGGAATGATTTGAAAATTGTGGGGATAAATTAAGACATGATTATGTGCCGTATCTTAATTATACAAACAGATGAACGAATGTCTAATTGTTTAAAACACAT